TTCCCCAAATTCAAATCTCAGCTCTGGGATCAAGTAGCCATGTGACTGTGGGCAAGCTACTTTATCTCCCTGAAGTTCTTATCTCTCATGTGTAAAATGGTGTATGAGTTTCCTATGGCTGCTGTGACAAATTGTCACAAACTGACAAATTTATTTCCTTACAGTTCTGGAGGTCAGAGGTTTGGGATCAATTTCACTGGGCTGAAATCTAATTTTGTCAGTAGGTCTTCATTTCTCCTGGAGGCTCTAGAAGAGAATCCATTTCTTTGCTTTTTACAGATTCTTGCATTCCTTTGCTCACGGCCTCTTCCTCCATCTTTAAAGTCAGCAGCATAGCATCTTCTCTCCTTTCTAATCTCTGCTTCATTCCTCATATCCTCTCTTTATGCCTCTGAGCGTCCTGCCTCCCTCTAATAAGAACCCTTGTGATTACATTGGGCCCTTCCAGAATAATCCATGATAATCTCCTCATCTCAGATTCTTTAATTTAATCACATCTGCAAAGTCTTTTTAACCATGTAAGGCAATATATTCACAGGTTCCGTGGATAAGTACCTGGACATCTTTGGGGGGCCAATAGCCATCCTACCACAAAGAGATGATAATTTTACGCATCTTTTAAGGTGGTTTTAAAAAGTAAATGAGATAAAACACATAAGGCACTTGGCATGTATAAAAAGCTTCACAAATGTTAGCTGTTGTTAAGACCAAGGTAATTCTGTAAAAACAGATTTTTTTCAAGAAAAAAAAGAAAATAGCCAATTTATACAGGAGGCATACTGGAAAGTTTTAAATTCAAATCAACGACTAGTGAGGGAAAATATGTAAGCTTTTCTCATTTTCTTCCTTATTCTGATGAATTAACACATGCAAATCACATTTAACATAAAGAATTAAATTTTAAATCTTCACTTTCTATTAAATGAAATACCAGGTAAAAATCATGATTTAATGCCTTTAATCACCTGCATAACTAAATTACCCCTTCCTCCATGAATGTCTCTTCTTTGACTTTATTTTCTCTTTCTAATAGGAGATGGAACATTCTGGCAGCCTTATTCAACTTTCACTAACCTTTGAGACTGCAGTTATGGAATAAAAGTAGATTTCATTACACTATGCTTTAGTACGAATCCCTCTAGAATAAGTGGGAGAAAGCCAACTCAAACTGGTTTTTTTGTAAAGCAGGAAGTGATAGTGGTGGGAATTTATGACTTGTGTAACTGGGTTGGATACTATATTGTGGTGACCAGGTTGAACTTCCAGAATGAAGGACTTACTCCCCCACTGTCAGCACATACAGGGATTGTTTTATTGAAGAGAACCATCTTGCCCATGACCATTCAGAGTCATCTCAGCTTCAGATCTCCCCACAGGATTGTTGAGACCTCATTGTGACCACATGGTAATTCAACTTCTCCTTCTGCCCACTCCCGCTTTCTTGTCTTTTCTTCCTTTCCAAGGATGTTTTCCTCCAAGGGCACTCTCTAGTAAAACTCCTGAACACGAATCTCCATCTCAGAGTCTACTTCCCGGTAAACCCAATCTGCAAGAATAACTGAGATGTCCAAGTGTTTCAGGCAGATCAGACCCAAGAATTCAAACATCATCATCTTATTTGTCTCCAAACCTCTCTGTCCTTCCCCAGCTGCTGATCTGATTTTGTTTGTGTAGGCATAATTCTTATGCAGCTTCTTAGCATAAGGCAGTAGAGATAGTCTATGGCAGCAGCAGGCATACATCATTCACAAGGAGAGAAAAGCTCACCCTCTCCTCCAGAGTCCCTAAAAACTCCATCCTCATGCAAATGATGAATTGGCTTTGTTTCGGTCAAGTGCCCACACCTGGATAATCACTGTGTCCAGGGGGATGAGGTGCTCTCATTGGTCATCCTTAGGCAAGGAAAGTGGGGCCACATAACTCATAGAAGCATATAGCGTGGGAGTATGGCAGTTCTGGAAAGAGCAGCAAGCACAGCAGAGATAAAATGAACAGAAATCCATTTTTCATTATCACCAGGGACAAAATTCCTTGGGAATCTTGGTGTGGTAACACACCTCCCTTTCTTTAGAAATTTCACACATCCTTCTTGGGATAAATTAAGAGCCTAATTTTTAAATTTGAGTTATCGTGAAAGAATCATACTCAGGATGCAAAGTCAGGGCATTTCCTGGAGACTTGAGTTTGCTTCTCTCTTTTTTTCTCAGTCAGAAGTGTCTAGGATTTCAATCATAAGCCTGAGAGTATTGGTCACTACTGCCTACTGGGAGTGGTGAGCACTCCCTTACATTCACTACAGTCCAGTTTGACACTAACAGCTTAGGAGACAATGGAAACCAAAGTGGCTAGAAGAAGATAAGCTATTAGCTAATGCATAGAGGTTCAACTTTCTTTCATTCTCCATGTCCAGTCAATACCAGCTAACCAATACCTGCTGCTTCTTTATGAAACTATCTTCCTGTCTTTCCAAGAGCAGTGCACATTACAATTTACTTGAACGGTGTTCTCAAAAGGAAAGTTACTTTCCATAAAAGAAAGATTTTACTCTTCATTGCAACTGCTCTCTCTTCCTCCTGCTGTGAAACTGATTGAAGTTCTTAAGGCTCTCAAGAAATCTCTACTCACAGCCCTGTGATTAATTTTGTAAAGGAGGAAAAAAACAATAGGACGGAATGGTTGATTACCCATGGAAAATATTCTTTCTTTTAAAAATTTTCTTCTCAAATTGTGGAGAGAGGGGAAGAGAGTTGGAAAATATTCAAAAAACAGGTTTATATGAAATAAGGAACATTGTTTCCTAGTATATGAGTTTTCACGGTCCCCTTCCCATTGCTTCCCCAGCAGAGCACAGGCATCCGGAGATAGATGAAAAAATGTGGGAGAAACTTGAAGATTTGCATAGGATAAGAGAAGATGAACCAGTAGGCTGGGAAAGAGAAAAGGGGAGAGAAGTGGAAAGGAGAATTCTTTGATAGGTTACAAAGAACTTCATGGAGCAGTAGTCATCCCTCTGGAGGAGTGTGAGAGTGACAGAAATAGGAAGAGCAAATTTTTAAGGTGCTTTATTCCTCATTAGGCATATATGCCTCACTTCTTTAATTACATGAGAAAATGAGTAGATATCTGAATTACCTTTTGTATCAGGCAAATCCAGTCAGAAAAACAGAAATCACCATATTTCAATGGAGGGAATTTCATACCGGGAATTGGTTACATGGGCGACGGGAAAGCAGAGAATCCCAACATGGGTGCAAGAGGCAACGTAAAGATTAACAACTGCAGGAAGTGGTTGCCACCCTCAGGGTTAGAGGGAAACTAGGAGGAGGTGGTGTGACACAAGCCCAGAAGCCAAGGCCATCTGGCAGGAGCTGGAACTGCAGTGATCATGGCCAGCAGGAGCTCGTGCTACAGAGGGAAGGGCTAACTGGTAGGGGCTGGAGCCTCAGTGGAAATGCGGCCACTTCAGGGATGCCACCTGATGCAGAAAGCTGGGGGAAGAAACACTCTGGCTTCATCCCAGCTACTCATCTTCCAATTTGGCTGAACATACCAGAAGCCTGAGGGCCAAGGATCCTGGCAAATACAATTCTCTCTGAAACAGAGCACAGCAGGGAAAGGGTGGGGATTAGATCTCAGAGCAAAGAGGCAAATAACTGGCACATGTTTTGATTGTCTGTGTTTCTTTGAATTCATCTGTGTGTAATGGAACCACAAAGCCGACTACCCTTTATGTGAGTTACACGTGATCCGAGAGCAATGGAGAAGGTCACAGTTGAGTACCTTTCCTTAAGGGTTAAAAAGAGAAAAATAATATTACTTTATTAATTGTCAGAATTCTGGAGGCTGTCTCAGGTGGTTCATAGACAACAACCCCAAAGAGTTCATGCCTCTCCTTCTCTTTCTTTTCCCTGGTTCTCTTTTGTCCTCCAATTTCTTCTTTTCCCTTTCTGTTGACTGTAGCTGTAGTACAACCACCCTTGTGCAATGTCAACTTTGATCTCATAGATCTACCCTCCTGTCTCTTTCATGTCCTGAAGACTGGGTAGTAGTCATGAGAAAAATGCTAAATCTGGCTTTTCGCATCTACTACATCTGACATACCTTTGTTCTGACCCTGTTTACATATCTAGCCTAGAGGATGTCATGTCTGCCTGGGAATACTATAGTCATGCAAACATTTTGATACGTTTGATCTATTTTCACTTCCTGCAGTTCTATTTGGAGTGATTTTGGATGGGACTGGCACAGTTAGGCTTTTTTTCTGGTATCATGGTTAAAAGTATAGCCAAAATGCTTGAGTTTCAAATCCCGACTTCAGTTTCCTAATTGCATGACCTTGGCCAAGTAACTTAATTGCTCTGGTTCTCAGTTCCCTCATCTATAAATGTAATAATAATAATGGAAACTACTTTACAGGGGTTGATTTGTTAGAATCAAATGAATTTATTTATATACTGAATTTATATAAATATATGTGTGTATGTGTGTCTTGGTGTGTATGTACACACGTACTTATGTATTAACTCATATATACATATATATGTGTGTGTATGTGTACATACGTATACACATACACACATACATAGCTTAGAAAATTGGCACAATGTAAGCCTTCTGTAAATATCAACCATCACTATTATTTTTCTCAACAAGACTGTAAATGCTGCTCCAGCCTGTCAAAAGATATCACACCTACTTCATATTTTTTACCCAGCACGAAATCATGGCTAGTTGGGTGACTTTGTAAAAATTGCTACTTGATAACTGATAAGTCAAAAAGTTAATTCGCTGCGTAAAGAACATCTCATTATTGCACTCTTACTTGTCTCTCAATTGTAGAAATAGGTTTCATTTCCCTCTATGTTTAGTTGTGATTGGATCATTACAGACCTTTTTTTCTGTAGTTTTTGTGGTTTAGAGATTTAAATTTGTTATGGAAACAAGCTTTTCAGTTGACCAATGATTAGCTAATTTCTGATAATATAAAAGGAAACAGATTGCCCCAAGGCTGCTGTTTTCATTTCCTCATGGGAAGAAGCAGCATAGCAGAGAAGAAAGGCAGACACAAGACACTGCTCCTCTGCCACCATGGGGAACTGGGTTGTGAATGAGGGACTCTCCATCTTTGTCATTGTAAGTACCAATGAGGAATCAATTATGAATTCTCTGACTTGTCTGGGTTCTTTTACGAACTAAAATAGAGGAAGACTTTTTTGTTTGTCTATTTGTTTTGTTTGTTTGAGAAATTGCATCGAAACTGATTTACTGTGTGAACATACATCTATCTGCTAGCAGACTGAGTCCCTTCTTCCAAACTTATTAATGGAAAGAATGGATCGGGAGCTCACTTCACCTAGTTTATTTCTTGAATTTTTAAGAGTACTAAATTAGCCAGCATTTCACAGAAGGAGTAGAAGACATTTCATGCTATTGATCCCTGAGTCTGAGTTGTTTATTAATGTTTACAAAGGCAAATTTCTCTACTTTTTATGTGTTTATACCACTTAAAAATGGGCAATTGACATTTTATACTATTTTCCAAACAACAAGACTGGCTCCTGTATGAGAAATTGGCCTTTATTTCAGTAATTATTTCAGTAATTACACCAAATATAATTGAAGTTCTCAACTTTCTTTTTAAGAAAAGTATCCTCTTTTCTCTGAGGTAAACTTGAGTTATTCATGAGGTTTATAAACATTCAAGGGAAGGGAATTGAAATAAGATATCTAGACTCATATTTAAAGTGTATATATGATATATAATATAATTATATATATATCAACATAATCTATCCTAAGGAAGAATTTTTGTAAGTAAAGAGATGGCTAATTTTCAAATAGACACTTTAGTTTCTTTAGTTGTTAACATAACAAAGATCAACTATTATTTTAATATGGTGGTCTCAGCAAAGCAATCATGGAAAATTGGGAAGATAGAAATGTGATGTAAAAATAGCCTTCCAAATAGCCAATGAAAGCATTATACAGATGTTAAAAAGAACACTTATGAGCGGAACTTTTGAAAGAATTTATCATAAAGTAAATATCGAGTCTTTGGGTTTTAGAGGTAGAGAGAAGTTAGTGACACAAATAAAATAAAAGCAAAAATATTTTGCCATTAAAAAAAAATATCCCGGGGCCGGCCCTGTGTCCGAGTGGTTAAGTTCACGTGCTCCGCTTTGGCGGCATGGGATTCGCAGGTTCAGATCCTGGGCACGGACCTACACACCACTCATCAAGTCATGCTGTGGCGGCATCCTACATGGAAGAACTAGTATGACCTACAGCCAGGATATACAACTGTGTACTGGGGCTTTGGAGAGAAAAAAAAAAAAGAAAGAAGATTGGCAACAGATGTTAGCTCAGGGCCAATCTTCCTCACCAAAAAGCATACCTTAAAAAAAAATATGCCAAACCAACATTCTAATGCAATATAGAATTCTTCTGAGGACTCAGAGCTCTTAACTTGATTTCTTATCACCATTTTAAGAACAGACTACTCCTATAGAAAACAAATTCCAATTATACTTTTTGCTCCTACCACAACTTTTCCCAGGAAATGACCTCTTTCTAAATTATACCCTCACATACTTGAAAGTAAAGACACGGCTTGGAAAGCAAGAGTAAGAATGACAAGGTTAGGAAATGGAGAAGTTGTTTTAGCACCTTCTTCTTTATAAAGAGAGACTGTTCTCAAGTGTCTATGGACATTTCATAGCTTCAAAGCACAGTTACAAAAGATCACTATGGAGCCGAAGGTAGAAGATTGGGCAGTGTCACCGCTTGATGCAGTCAGTGCTTGGGATGAAATGAGAAGTCACAATGTAGAAGGGTCTCTTTTTAAAAAAGTCCCATGCCCCTCACCCCCTCATTCATGCTCAATATCCCCTTCTTCAAAAGTTAAGCAAAACTTACTAAACAGCATTAAAGGCTTGACACTTTAGCTGATGAGACTCCCACTAGCTGGGGTGGGAAGCTATGTGGTGGAGGGAGGTGACTGGCGCCCGTGAGAGTAGAACACAATGTCCTACTAGAGTGGGGGACAGCATAGTAACATATTCCTTTCTCTTCTCTTTCTAAGAAGAATCATCTGCTATCATCTATCTATCTATCTAAGGTTAAGAAGAAAAGAGGAAGAGAAAGAAAGGAGAGGAAAGAGACTGATAACAATTTGGCGTACTGGCCATGTAGTAAAACAATCGTGGGGAATAACACAGGGTAGAAAGGTTAGTTACAGAGAAGTGTAGTGACACTGTTGTAGGAAAGAGCTGGTTCTAAGCTGTTTACACACAGCTTCGTAACCACCTTTGTTGAAGGCTGGAATCGGGGAAGTCCTGACTCTGGTCTGACTCCATCTTGTGTGAAACGTACCTGTTAAAACGTGAAAACTTCATGCAACTATTTCTGTTTGTGCAGCTGGTGTGGCTGGGCATGAATGCCTTCCTCTTTGTATGGTACTACCGGGTTTATGACAATAGAGAGCAGTTCTTTTACACTCGAAAACTTCTTGGGGTAAGTATAAGTTTTATTTCATGCAATATTGACTGACTCACATTTCTAATCAGAGATTCTTGTTCATATTCTTTTCAACATTTTAAGTAAATATTCTGACCAACCTAAACAGCACCATCAGCCTCATTGCCTCTATTGCAAACCCCTGGATAAGTCTTTAGGCCTTCCAGTATGGGACAAACAAAAGAGGGCCCCAGTAACATCCTTCACCTCCCAAAGAACCACTGTGCCATTGTTTAGCTTAAGGGAAAAATCTAACACTGACTGTGGAATGGAAGGCCAGTTTGGAGAGATTGATCCAGGGATGACGCATGTGGGACATATTCTCTAAATCATCTGATTCTCACCATTTTTGTGCATGGAAAGCCCTGTTCCTAGTGCCATGTTAGAAAATGATCTTCTGAAAATAAGCCCCTCCCTACATATAGAGCCTTTGAGGAACTTGCCTAAGGGTCACATTCATTAACCAGGCCAGCAGAGTGAAGGCCGCCCACTTTCCTTGAGTTCTTTAGCATTCTCGGTTTCCTTGAACTGCCAGGGTTCTTCCTCAACACAATGAAGATAATTACAGTTACAGCTGTCCCCAGAGGAAATCATTTGTTACATCATGTTGAAACCATGAAGGAATTGTTTAATAATACCAATTATAATGTGTATTATAAATCATATGTATGAGTAATTATAATATATAGTTATACCACATTGTTATAATTTTTGTTAACTTAGATTGACATTCAGAAGGGTGATTTCCCTTTGCTTTTCCCCTCCAAAATATGCAACTTCTTTAGGCATTACAAAGATAACAATTATAATGCCAAAGCATTATATCATACCAACGTAGGTTACTATTGAGGTCAGTCTAAGTGCTAAGAAAACCTTGCTTAAAAAGGCCCAGTTTTGGGGGCTGGCCCCGTGGCCGAGTGGTTAAGTTCACGCACTCCGTTGCAGGCAGCCCAGTGTTTCATTGGTTCGAATCCTGGGCGTGGACATGGCACTGTTCAACAAACCACGCTGAGGCAGCATCCCACGTGCCACAACTAGAAGGACCCACAACGAAGAATATACAACTATGTACTAGGGGGCTTTGGGGAGAAAAAGGAAAAAAAAATAAAATTAAATTAAAAAGGCCCAGTTTCTAAACTGAGCTCTAGTTAATGATACACACACTTAAGTATTTAGGGGGAAGTTAGCTGATGTCTGCAACTTACTTTGAAATGCCTCAAAAAATAAGATGAGTTGATGGTTGGATAGAAGGATAGATAGATATGTGATAAAGCAAGCATAGTAAAATGTAAAAGGTGAAATCTGGGAAATGGGTAAGCAAGTATTCATTGTGAAATTCTTCTCTTTAAGTTTGACAATTTTCATAATAAAATGTTGGAGAGGGGGCAGATTAAAACAAAGGGTCCTAGCAGGCCCTAAAGGTAAACTCGGCTCTGAAGGACCTTCCTTTCCAAATAACTTGATGTCTCTGGTGTGTGGGCCTCATGCCAGCAACCCTGGAGAAGTGGGGGGATTAGTCCATGCTCACAGGAGTCACCCTGCTCCCTAATCCTGCTTCTTCCAGGCAGCGCTTCCGTTGGCCAGGGCCCCTGCAGCCTGTCTGAATTTCAACTGCATGCTGATCCTGCTGCCGGTCTGTCGAAATCTGCTCTCCTTTCTCAGGGGTTCCAGCGCGGTAAGAGCAAGCCTTTACAAAGTCTGAGTTCTACAAGATATCAAAGGCCATCAAGCTAAATGCCCTTTCTTAGGAAAAGCAAACCAATGGTTTGTGAGGATTTCAACCTCTGCAGAATATTCAAGATCTCAGCTATACCTGATTCTGTAGTTTATTTCTTTATTATTTGTTGATGGAGCTCCCTGGGACAACCATTTAACTTGGAGCAGACATTAAAAACAACAACCAATCAACCTATACCTCAACAATAGCAATAAAGCCATGTGCATGCACACACACACAGACATACATAGTACGTGCGTATGTTTATAAAAGTTGGGAATTAATCTTACAGTGCCATGTTTTTCAAAATTTTTGAATCAGAGAAAATCTCTTTTGTGGATAACATCCCAAGCAGATGGAATAAATGGGCAATGAGTCACCATAATGAATGTGACTAAGAAGTGCTGGCTCCATGGAACTGGGGAGTTCAGAGCTTTCTAAATACCCAGGGGTCCTTTCAGCCTCACTTCAACAATTTAGTGAACCCCTAAATGTACTATGCTGGAAAAAGAAAAAAGATTATGTAGGAAGAAAGTTTGTAACCTATAAATGGTATACAAATTTCCTACTGCTATTATTATACAAAGATGACAAACAAGAAACTTACAATCTACACACATACCGAAATAAATACAAAACAGAGCAAAATATGATGGGTCCCACAAAACATTCTAAATGAAGAGCCGCAGGGAATCAAAGAAGGGGTAAATTATATCAGGTGGGGCAGGGTATGAAGAAAGGCTTCTTAGGGAAGGTGGTATGAGATATAGGCATATAAGGCTAAAATAAGCATCTACCGGATGTAAATGAAACAGAAAGACATTCTACATGGAGAAAATGGCGTGGGCAAAAGCACGAGAAATGGTGAGGAAATTGTGTTCTTGAAAGCCCCGTTATCAGCTTGACTTCCAGCTTCTTTTTGGATGTGTTTGCCATTCCTGACCACATCGAAGAGGGTGGCTCTTCCAAAGTTAGGGATCGATGCCCTGGTGGGACCCATTCCACTAACTCATTAGTGACTAGTAGTCTCTGTTTTTCCTTTTAATAAAATGCATGTTTTATATTAACTAGATTTGTCAAAAATTACCTAGTGAGTAGAACTCATTTATAGAGGAGAGCAGTTAGCAGTCTATTTTGATGGGAATGTAGGATTGTAAAGGGCAGATGTCAGAGGTAAGTCTCCAGAGAAGAACTGGAGCTTTGCTAGGAAACTAGGACCTTGACTGTACAGCCGAAGAGTTAATACTTAATTTGGCAATCACTGACTGTTTTGGGAAAGGAAAATGATCCAAACTGTCAATAACGAGTAGAACTTGCCTTGAACTCTGCCTCGTTTTTCCTAGTCTTACTAGATTCACTTTGATCCCAAGGAGAATTTTTTTCCTTGAAGAACTATACAGCTCTCGATTTACTAATATAGGATTAGCAGGCTACAACTAACTGTAGACATTGATTACAAGGATTTCCAAATAATCTTCTCAACCTAAGAATCCACAAAGGTAAAATTCCATTTGATTGAAAGTTTTATTGATGAGCCATCAGTAAAGTACAATGTCTGGTATATCGTAGGAGCCTGATGAGTATTTGCTAAATGAAACTCACGTACTGTAGCTTTCTTTTAAGGCAGCACAATTCATTGTTATTCTCCCCATTATTCCCTGTTTGAAAACTTTGTATTTAGAGGAAGTAACCCCTGAGAAAAAGGCAGTGTTTTCACCAGGATAGTCCATTAAGAAATCCTTGTTACCCCACAAGCCCAAATTGCACTGTCGTTGAGCTGCCGTGCCCCACGAGCCGCACATGTTGTAATGGCTGCTTTTAGGCTTCCTGTGGCCCAGGAGGGAAGATCCTCCTGAGGGTCTCTAAAGACAGAGATGAAATGAGGCTGCTCTTCAAATGGCAGAGAAGCTCAGCTCTGTAACCAGGAAGACCTGTATGTAAAAGAATATATTTTTTAAAATTAGCAGCAAGCAACCTTCTTTTACAGATGGGATGTGTCTCTCCCTCTTCAGATTTCCCAACCTGAAGTGTGAACTTTGCAAATGAAACTTCTTTTCTGATTGGGATTAAAATGAGTGAGCATGCTGTGACTAATGTTGGGAATCGTAATAGCTGCCACTTACTGTCTTCATAGACCTCACCTCGTGAAATCCGCATATCAAATCAGTGAAGTGGGGATGAAATTAAATGGGAGTGTTGTGATTCAAACCCAGATCATTGTACCTCCAGAGCTCATTCAGTTTCCTATGTGCCGCCTAAACTCAAAACTGTCTAGTTGCAATATTATGGTCTTAGAAAGTCCATCATATATATGAAAATTTGAGCATGCTGAATAACCTAGGCTAGAAAAGGCAAGGATGTTGGAACTTCCAGGAATTGTTTGTAGGACATTATGCAAACTAAACAGTCACAGAACTTCTGTTCAGTTTCTAGTGGTCTTAATCATTTAGACTTTGCTTTATAATCCTTCTGGTTACCTGGAGAAAGCAAGCCCCAAGGTTGGCCCACACCAGGAAAGATAGGAATAAAGACTCCCAGTCTGCTTTGTTGAGGGAAATGGGGAAGGATGGGGTTCAGCATACAGAAGTTCCCAAAGAAACCTTAATAACCCCAACTTGCCATACAGAAACTGAGTTCTAACTGGATGGAAGTCCTAGTCTTAAGATCAGAAAGAAACAGGAAGTTGAGAGAGTGAGCTCGTATCTGTAACCTTATGTAGTCTGAGAGCCAGAGGCCCTCAACATGGCTCTATCTCTCACCATATGGTCTAGGGCAAGTCTCTTGGACTTCCTGTCTCAGTTTTTTTTTCAGTTGAAAAGCACGTGAAATAATGCAAATGTAAGAATGAATACGACACTCTAAAAGTGTATTAATTGACTAAGCCTATCAACTAGTGAGTTGTCAGTCAATAAATATCTGTTGAGTGCCAACTATGTACTAAGCACTGGCGACACATGGTAAGTAAAGAGTAAGATATGGATAGACCGCGAGCTCGAGGAGCTTAGAGTTTTATGGAGAAGATATAGAATAAACATGTAATTTCAAAATTATAAACAGTGCTATACGAATAAAGTGGTGCTCTTTATATTTATCACATATTCTACTGCCACCAGGTTTGGAAATTATTGTCAGCTTCTCCGTCTGAGTTCCATAGATTCAAGATTGGCTTTTGCTGTTTCTCCCAAATTGCATATAAATATCTAATTCAGGTTCATTCACGGTGCATGTGGTGAGACCAGATGTACCTAAAATAGAATTTATAAGTTTCTGTAACACTTGTGTTACGGAAACTCATATTATGCCCTATTAAATATGCATTTCTTTTTAGTTCCAGTTCTCAATTTTTAAAAATTGTTTTCCTCTCACAGTTTGCATAGATATCTGCCAAGATGACTCAATAATTTCCCTTGCACTTGAATGTTAGTCTATTGAGATTGGGCAAGGCTGTAGGTGACAGTAACAAAAGAAACTTCCCTTTAGATGTCAATGGCCAAGAGCAAAGAGGTAATTCAGTGAGGAAGCTATGGAGCATGATGGCAGCTTGGGAAATTGGTAGGTGGCTGGCAATAATTCAGAAGTGGCTCAAAAGCATAAAAATGGTATCTGCATCGTAGGGAGGGACAAAAAGCCCTGGGCAGTCACAGGCAGCAAAGCCCTTTCTTCCCACCCACCAACAGGCCATCTTGCCTCCTTCTCAGGAAATGGTGAGGGAATTGTATCTGGAACCCCCGTATACGCATGACTTATGGCTTTACTTTGGATTATTTTGCCATTACTGGCTATACCAAAAAGGGTGGCTAGGAAAAATTAGCTAATGGTGCCCTGGTGGGACCCATTCCACTGGCCCAATAGTGACTAATAGCCTCTGTTTTTCCTCTTAATAAAATGTATGTGTTTCATATTAACTAGCTTTTTAAAAAAATTACCTATTAAGATCAGAGTATTACTGAATGGACCTTGTATTTCCCAAGCACATCTCTCCATTATTGTAGCATTCAGTTTATTTTTCTATAGGAGTCTGTTGCTAGAGCTGTTAAACGGCGTTAAAATCTATTCACATTTTTGATGATCCATGTTGATGATGATAAGGATAGACCTATGGAGACAGTATAGAGACCACAACAAAACCACATTCCTTTTCTTCAAATTGAGCATGCAGGAGTCAGTATATTTTCCTCTAAATGTCCCAAAATGATTTGTCAGGCAGTAAAAAAGGAAACAGTGTGACAAGTATAGATATGTGGGTAAATACACCTCTACAGGTTTGGAATAATCATCTTAGATCCTAGGACAGTGAAAGCGTGATTCATTTAACCAAATAATTAATAAAGGATTTTAAAAAGTATGTGACATATTGCTCTGCATACAGGAAGCTTTCTTTCTAGCTGAGAAGCCAATCCATACTAGCTGAAAGTTAAATAACGATACAAAAAAATCAAATATTTATTAAATACCCCTCAATGAATCTATGAAACAGACCTATGAAGGAAGAACTATGATAAATATATAGGTGAGGAAACTGGAAACTGAGTACACGCAGCTGGATGGTAGGGCTAGGATACAACACAGGTATGTCTGATGGCAAAACTTGCTCTCAGAAATGTAATTCAGTACTGCTTTCTGACCCTACTAATTCTCATGCTCTCATTCTTAGGAGCCCAATTGCGTTCCATCACTCCAATAGGGACTGTATTGATTATCTATTGCTGTGTAACAAACTTCCACAAACTCAGTAGCTTAAAACAAACTCAATTTATTAGCTCCAAGTTCTGCAGGTCAGAAGTCCAACATCCTGTGGCTGGGTTCTCTGCTCAGGGTATCATAGGTTGAAATCAAGGTGTCAACTGGGCTGGGTCATAAGGAAACTGGGTAAAAATGTTCCAAGCTAATTCTTGTTGGCAAAATTTAGTTTCTTGCAGTTGCAGAACTGAGGTCTCTGTCTCCTTGCCGATGGTCATCCAGGGACCACTCTCAGATCCTAGATGTCCCTGTATTCCTTGCCATGTGGCCCCCTCCATCTTCAAGCCGGCAACAGTGCATCAAATACTTCTTGTGCCTTGAATCTCTGACTTCTTCCATCTCTGACTTCTAGACTCAGATTTAAAGGGCTCATGTGATTGGGTCAGGCCCACCCAGATAATCTCTCTCTTAAGGTCAGCTTGGGACTTTAATTGTCTCTGCAAAGTCCTTTTTGCCATATAATGTAACAAAATCACAGGAGTGACATCCCATCATATTCACAGGTCAGGTCCCACCCAAACTCAAGGGGAGATTATAGAAGGTCATTGGGGTTCATTGCCGACCACATGGAGTCAAGTAAACTATGGAGGAACCCAGCAATTAGGACACAGGAAAAAGATATTTCCTTAAAACTGTAAGGAATACAAAGTAGTAAAACAATGTGCAACACTTGAAATAAACACAAAAGATAATGAGGCTATATAAGAAAACAAGAACAGTCAATTTTTCACCAACCGAAATGCAAAATGGGTGATTTAAAACAGAAACTCTTGTTTTGAGAGCCTGAATCACTGCTCAGCTCCACCAATGGACACCTGGTTGTAGGTGACGCTGTTGGTTCTCCACCAGTATTCCCTCCACACTGATAGTTCCAGTACATGGGGCAGCTGCCTTCTGCAAGCCCCAGTCATTCTCTGCCTGAGGATTTTCTTTCAGCCCTCTCCTGGGGCAAGCCAGAAATGCCAGGAGTTGATGCCCTGGGAGCAGCCCTCAGCCAGTAATGGCTGGAAGTTGGTGAATGAAAACCCAAACTTCCTAACCCCTCCAGTAAAAAACAAAAAACAAAACTCTGGGGAATGCTCTACACAGTCTCCCAGAGGTCCCTCATTAGAAAGCCCAAGGAGAGGATGTGATAATGGGAGCTGATATCGTAATACACCCTTGATGATTTCCTGCCCTTCCCAGTCTTACTTCCCCTCTCTTGTTTTGTGTGATCACTTTCCAGGTAGAGTACTTACACTTAAATTCTTGTCTCGGGTTTTGAGACACATAGAAAAATAGTGACTATATCTTTACATTTGGTTTGGTGGAAAAGGGCGTGAACCTTGAAGACAAACAGACTTGGATCCCAGCCAATGGGAGGGTTAGCGTTAGTTTTCTTATCTGTGAAAAGAGGACAATAGTACTTATCTTACTGCATTAAATGAGGTAATGCTTATGGCTAAACTGCCTGGCTCACAGAAGGCACTCAATAAAGCCTAATTCTTTTTTCTTTTTCTGAAATCCTCAGTGCCTTTCTTACTAGTATTTCTTGGGTTTCAGGAATCTGCTCTCCTGGTCCAAATAGCCTTCCCTCCCTAGAAGCAGCTAACTGAGAGAGAGTGGAGCGAGCACGATTTCCCATACAATTATATTTTTTTCTATAAAATCAGAACATTTTATTAAAAATAAGTAAGCCAAATATTAATTACCCTCATATTTAAATTAAATATGTTTAGAACCAGATATTTATGATACCTAAGTTTTTGGGGGTACTTCACTCTGCTCTCCTTAAAAATCTCCAAATCTCTGTGGCAGTACATCTAGTCTTGGGAACAAAAGAGCCAGAGGAAGCATTTGACTGATTTTCAGGAGGGCAAAGCTTAGATTCAACCATAAACTAGATATTTTTTCTATTTTGGGCATTGACCTGAATCCAGATTCAAACCCACATCTTCCAACGAACATCAGTAGGACAATTACACTAAAGTATTGGCCAAAATACTATTTTCAATGTCAAGGTAACCATATGAGGTATAAAATAGAATATCGATATTTCTGGCAGCAGATAGGCTGGGTTTAAATCCCATTTCTGCCACTTATTAACTATGTGGCCTAAGGCAAGGTAACCTCTTTCTGCCTTTGTTTCCTCATCTGTTCTGTAATGATAATAATGGCACCTCCTGCAATAGGATTGCTATAAGAATGAAATGAGTCAATGCACTTAAGGCAGTTCCTTGCATAAGCTCTTTGTAAATATTAGCTATTATTATTTTTTATATTATTCTTGGGTTAACGATCTCCCTTGTGGTGTTGTCTCTATCAGCAGGGGAAAGTGGACACTTTTTTCTTTTCCCCTAGTGTGTATGGCCTGGAAGGATGTTGTTCTAAAATTATTCACTTGTTCTAGAACTGTTCGCTTGTCTGTATCCCCTTTAGACTGCCAGGTCTTTGAGGGGAGGCCTGTCCTTTATGAATTTCTCTATCAGGAGATAGAGAATAGCCCTCAGCCAGTAATTTATTGAATAAATTCATCTGAACTAGAAACTATGTAGTTATATATGTTTTCTGTCCAAATTCGTATTTTATACAATTAAGCCATGGATTCCAGGAGAGACTTTTTGTGTCACAGGTATGAGAATCTTAAACATATTGGTTAAGCTGGCTATGCCACTTACTGGCTGTTTGACCTTGGGAAGATGACTACCTCTATCTGAGCCTCAGTTTTCTCATCAATCGAATGGGTAGAATGATATAGTTTTTAAGGTGGTTGTGAGAATTAAATGAAATGATATATATCTAACGCCTGGAACAGAGAAAACCTTCTTGTTGACAATTACTATGTATTTCATTCTTTTCCCCTTAATACAAAGTGCTGCTCAACAAGAATTCGAAGACAATTAGACAGGAACCTGACCTTCCATAAAATGGTGGCATGGATGATTGCACTTCACACTGGTAAGTTTATTAAGATATTTGAGATTGCAAAGAAAACTTGGAACCGGACAGTTCCCTCTATTCTTAGATACTTTTTTGTAAGAGGTTGGCCTTTATTGGTAGATTAGGTGGTGATTGTATATGTTGTAATTTTTGAATGAATTCTGTTAAAAAATATTCACCACTATTTCTGTCAGCCTAATATTAAGATTTATTCCTTCAGGTCTTAAAACATTTTTATCTTGGGCTCTTTTGGTAAAATCCCAGTGTCTTCACCCTTTTCCATCCTTTTTAATATCAAAAATATTTGTCAGTCCACATATGAGAGCTTTTATTAATTCATTTTTTAAAAATACTTGGTTGAACATGTAGATTTGTGGATTTCTTGCAGTAAGCCTACAGGAGCCGCAGCCCGTAAATTCAGAATCCCTTAAGACAGCCCCTATTAGCCAAACACTTTCTTTATTATTATTATTGTTGAGATATATATATATATATACACACACACAATAGGCGTACATGTGTATATGTGTACTATATGTGTTATTATTATTAGGGTGGTAATGTTGGCACAAGAAGGGATATATCTGGGACCCTTATCAAATCTCCACTAATTCACTTAATAAATAATTGATGTTCCAGGCAATAGGCATCACACGTGCACAGCGATGAACAAAATAGACGTTTGCTCTGCCCTTAAGGAGTTTGTCCCTAACCTGAATAAAATAGGCTTAGATTGCAGGTGTTCAACTGGGTTTCTCATCTTCTACCAGGAGATCATGCAGCCTGTCTGAGCTGTGGTAAATGAAATCTTTCAAGAGTGAACTGTATGATAAAATCTTGTTAGAAAGCAACATAATGTGATGGTTAAGAGCACAGATTTGTGTGCCAAACTGCTTGGATTTGGTTCTTAACTGCTACTTCCTACCTTGGTGCCCATAGATTTGAAAGCAATCTATGCCCCAGTTTCCTCATCTGTAAGATGAGATGATAGTAATAGTACCTATATCACCAGGTCAATGTAAAGATTAAGTAATTAGAAAGCACTTGTAACAGTGCTTGGCACCTAGTAAGTCCTATGTAAGTGCACGTTAAGTAAATAACGCAATTTTTTAAAATAGTTTCATTCTTATGCCCATTTGTCTGTATTGGTTCAATAAAATTGAAAATTGAAAAGTCAAATCTCTATCTGAAGTAACGTGAGAGTCAGGTGAATGGACCAGTCAAAGGTGTACATTACATGAGAGTCTTCTTGTTAGAGCACAAATATATCAGGGGGAGAGAGAGAATGAGAGCACATCTAAATACCCTCAGAGACCAAAGTTGTTTTGTAAAATCTTAGAACTTGGTTGGGTCTTTAATATCATGTAGTTCAACACCTCGATTCTATAAATGAGGGAGCAAGACCAGAGAGGTTAAGCGATTTGCCTATAATCACACAGCCAGAGAGTAGTTTACCCACTAGAATTGCCTTGCCTCTCTGATCCTGGAGACCCAGTTCTTGTTTATAAGTGTCCTGGGCCATGTCTGTGTCTCCCTGTAACTTATCATAGAGTTAGGGGCCGTAGCCAGAAAGCCTGCTTATAATAAAATTGTGCACACCCTTCACCCTCGTTTCTCTTCTCTGCCTTCTTTAGCGATCCACACCATTGCACATCTATTTAATGTGGAGTGGTGTGTGGATGCCCGAGTCAACAATTCTGATTCATATTCAGTAGCGCTCTCTAAATTTGAAGATAAGCCTGGTGAAACTTACCTCAATTTTGCTGAAAAGAAAATCAAGGTAAGCCTCTTATTTCCTGATCCAGATGTCCCCTAGGCCATTAAAACTGAGAACTAGATTTTAATAAGTGAAAAATTCTACTTGGCCAGAACAACAACAATGACAAAAGTTGACTAACAATCAGAGGGACAAGTTTGTATATTCTAAGAATGTGAGTTCAACGAAAATATCTCCCACACTCCTGACCCCATGTGTGGAGGGTCGCTAGATGTTTTCTATTTCCTTAAGCTCGCCTGTGAGAATGTGTGTACGTGGAGCCTGGAGTAACTCAGGCTTACCCATGACAATGCTCGACAGTCAAAGAAAGCCAGGAACACAGTCTGGTCAAACAAAGTTGAGTTTATTACTTGCTGCAGCAAAAGAGACCTCACACCATGAAGAAGTCTGAGGCATCTCAGGCGGGTGTTAAGAGAGGCTTTTCTAGGACTTGGGTTTGTGTTCGATGATTTGGGAGGGGTTTAAGGAAGCAAGGATTTGCTCTGGATCAGGTATGGTCAAGAACTGGGGATAGTTCTAGGACTGGGTATCTTAATAATTTTTTTTTAGGAGGCAGAAGGAATAGAATGGGGCTAAATCTGTAGTTGGTAAAGAAGCAGCAGTCACCCATGTTTTTGTCTTAGCTTAGACATGATTTCAGAGTGGTCTTGTTTTTGTCTCACTCCATCACAATCACAGAATGACCTCATTTGATGTTGGTGTTGTATGAAACTGTTTATGTGAAATAGGGAACACTCCGGCTTAGGTGTTAGTACCAGTCCAGCCACCAGTTGATAGCTGTCAGTGATGCTTTTCTTCTTTCTTGCCTACAATATCTGAGGGGTGGCCTATATCTGATAATTGTCATTCCTTGAAAGCACAGTACACTGGGAGGAACTCAGCAGTTCTCCAGGAGCAGCCATTTGGAGTATCAACAGGCAAAGACTTCTTCCCTTCCAGCAGTTATTGAAGCTTCCTACAGTCATAGGGAGAAGCTCCAAGTCATCTTCATGTACCAATGGCTCTGGAGAATGGCCAAATCACATTACTATACACTAAGTTCCAAACATGTTACCTTGTATTTAGAAAAAATTACAAGAAAAGTCCCTTGAGCCCGCCCGGTAGCACAGTGGTTAAGTTTGCTCACTCCACTTCAGCGGCCCAGGATTCATGGGTTCAGATCCCGGGCATAGACCTACACACCACTCATCAAGCTATGCTGTGGCAGCATCCCACATACAAAATAGAGAAAGATTGGTATGGATGTTAGCTCAGTGACAATCTTCCTCAAGCAAAAAGGGGAAGATTGGCAACAGATTTAGCTTAGGACCAATCTTCCTCACCAAGAAAAAGAAAAACAAAGAAAAGAAAAGTCCCTTAATTTTGCAAAAATAATTATCCTCAAGCTGACATGAAAAAACTTGCCTGGTCTACTTAGGAAGAGGATTAAGCAGCATCAAACAAAACAGAAATTCTTTTTTTTATAATGTCTCGGATAATTTTTCTTTTCTGTTATTTGTTGTTTGTACAGTGATATATAAGGGTGGCAATGTTAACATACGAGGTGAACTGACACTACCTTCTGTCTCCAGATCTCTTTGGGTCACTTTTACTGTGTCTGTGCTCCCCCACCCTTCTGTGTGCTTTCACTTTCAATTTCCTGTACTTGTGTTTCTTCCTCAGAGGACTGCTCTGGGGCTGTTGGAGTCCGTTTGCTCACAAGCTCAGAGATCTGGAAGGGACTGGATAGCCACCCCTCCCTGGATAGCCCTTAGCCCATAACGGATGGGTGCAGGCCATGAAAGCCCAGCTTCCTTGTCTTGAGTCAGGATAAACTCTGAGGTGTAACTTACCCTCCACAGTTCCCCTGCAGCATCAGGCTGAAGCTACTCCCTCTAAGACTTGGCCTAAAATCACCCTCTCACTTGACTTGTTCCTCTTTCCTGTCCTATCAACCGTTTCCTTACCAGTTTCTTCTGTAGCACATCCTTTATAAATCACTTGCCTATGAACCCTCATCTTGGGGTCTGCAGGAGAACCCAGCCTAAGATGTTAGGCATGCCCAGAAGACATTTGCAAGCTAAGTGCTGTGGCCCTTTCCAAATCAAAGAGAGAAAGAGCATCAGACCCTTTTAGGACATCTTACAGTTGACCAATTTCCTTTATTTGATACTCTCTTAGAACTGTTTCAGTGTATCAATTTATATTTCCTGTGACACGCCAACCACGTAAGACTTTTTTAAATTGAGAAATATGTATTCCAAATCTATATCACTGTGGGGGATGGTTAGGATTATCTAAAGGGGGAATGAAAATGCTTATTGCCCTATACATCAGACACTTTATAAATAGGTAGTCCTGCATTTGAGAGCCTACAAATAATGTGTGTGTGTGTGTGTGTGTGTGTTTGTATTTTACAGAATCCTGAAGGAGGCCTGTTAGTGGCTGTGACTCGGTTGGCAGGCATCACTGGAATTGTCATCACACTGTGCCTCATACTGATTATCACCTCCTCCACCAAAACCATCCGGAGGTCTTACTTTGAAGTGTTTTGGTACACACACCATCTCTTTGTGATCTTCTTCATCGGTCTTGCCATCCATGGAGCTGAGTGAGTGTTTAAACTCCGAAGCCAAGTACTCTATGCCCCTCAGTCTCCAAGTGGGGTGCTCTGTTAGAGGCGCAGGGACCTCCTTGTCAAAGTGTGTGGTCAGCCTTGTCTGCTGAGGGAATCTGAGGGGATAACAGAGGTCAGTTTGATAGAAACCACTCAGCAGCACTTTAGTTTCTTGCACTCAATCAATAGCTATTCATAATGTAGTTATTTATAGCAAGCTTAAAAAATACACCGAAGTTTGAGTATCTTTGCAGGTGTATTCAACGTGTTGCAAGTGCTGATAGGGTCTTGGGTGGCTGCAATGATGTTTCCTGTGGCTTAATCACTACTAAATGAGACAAACTCCCAAACTGGAGGGGTTAATTATTAATCAGGTGAAAGGGTTTGCTGTAGTTCAATGAGTTTTGATTCAAGCCAATCATGTATTGATTGCCTACTGTGTTTGAGGACCGATCTTAGGCACCGTGGGGAATACTAGAAGGAAAAATACATGGTTATTGCCTTCAAGCATTCTAATATAACAAAGGTAAGAGTTAACTTCTCTTGAGCACTTGTTATAGACATGAAATGTTTTTTTTTTTATCCCCAAAATGTAGAGATGCTCTTACTATCCACATTTCCTGGGGAAATTGTAGTCAAGGAAACAGACTACAAAGCCACCCAGTTTGTAAGTGGGATAGCTGGGGTTGGAGCCCAGGTGGTCTAAGGCAGGCTGTGATAAATGCTCTCATAGAGACACACAGTGCCTAGATGTGTGGTTGGGAGAGTTTGGCTTATTGGGAATCTTTTTTAATACCAGGTTTCGTTTTTATACTGTTTCACACTAGCTGATTCTCCCACCTGCACACAAAAGCAGGCCTGGGGAAGGTCCCTGGTGAGTAGGAGGCTCTAGACAACTAAGGGCGGCGGAAGTAGATGCTCAAGCCAGCCTAGAGGTGGCCAAGTATGAAAAGGGGAAGGGTGGGGAGAGGCAGCGTTGGGCAACCACTTATGTGTATTCTTGATCAACTTCCTGCCTCTGACCCTGATCAACTCTTTCTAAGCACTGAAAACTCTTTAGACAAAGAATCTCTTGACTCTCCTAAAGCAATTGAGTATCTTTAAATGGGACTTTGTCATCATCCAGCTGTTTCAGAGAATCCTAGAGAAAAAAAATGAATCTCTTCCCCTGTCTAGTTTAGCAATTCCACCACTTTACACTTGTATAGTTTCCGAGATACGCATTTTCCTTTGGTGCAGGTGGGGGAGGTTCGTTTACCCCACTCTCCATTTGCGGGGAATCTGCTCCTTACACTGGTTGGCTGATGGCTCACAGTCTTATGGCTAGGTAGCAGCTGAACTGGGATTAAAATTCAGGTTTTCTGCCTTCTGGTCCTGGCATTGAGAAGAGAAGGAGAAAATCAGATTTTTTTTTTCTATCACTTACTCCCCATGTGAACTTGGGCACTAAGAACTTTAATGGTTATCATTTTTTGGACCCTTACTTCATGCCTGGCGTTTGTATGCATCATGCCAATTGATTACCCCAATTAGTTACTCACTTAGTAGTTATTGAATTGAAGTCAGTGGGCTCTGAGCACTTCAAGGGACACACCATTAGTGTTACTGTCTGTGAGAATGTCATAGTCTCCACAAAGTTAAATCTTCTTAAATTGATTTCAACCTTTTGATTTAATTTAGACAATTTTGAAACAACAAATAAAGCACTTTTACTAAGCCTCAGGGCTGCTGTGTATGATTGTATGGGTTATCGACTACACAAGGGTACCTGGTGATGGGGAGTAAAATTAGCCCATACTCTGCTGGCCAAGTTCTGCTATAGGACTGTCCTTACAGAGGGGGCATCTTGTTCTAATTTGTACAAAGGCACTATATGGGCTAGCACTCACTCTGTTAGATTTGCAGTTTTTCGGTTTTTGTTTGTTCGTTTGTAAATAAAGATAATGCTCAAAACAGAAGCACAAATGCTCCCTTTAAGGAAACATGTATTGATGATTGAAAACTTACCCTCTATAATGTTACATATAGATAGTTTTTGTGCCACTGTGTGTAGGTTTTTTTCCATTGCTGAAAATCACATATTTTCTTTCCCTTCCTCTAATCTATTTGGAGGGGGCAATAAGATATTATTTTTAAGTGAAAAGTACAGGTCCCACATTAGAAATATGCCCAGAATCTCAAAAAAACTAAGAACTTAATTTCTTGCTACTAAATGGTCTGGACTTACATTTCCTCCTCAGGAGAATTGTACGCGGGCAGACCGCACAGAGTTTGATTCAACACAAGCCAAAAATATGTTGGAAAAAGATCGATGAGTGGGGAAAAATAAAGGAATGCCCAATCCCGCAGTTCTCTGGGAACCCTCCTATGGTATGTACAATTCGTTGCTGCTACTATGGTTTCTTTACTGACAATCTTCAAAGTGTGTCTAAGAAATACATGCAAATGTCATACGAATGTCATGGAACTGCTAGAATGGTGTAAGTATCTACTTTGCTATACTTATTGTCTGGAATTATTTCTTGAAAAATAAACTTTCATTCATCTTTTTTGAATGTCTTGATATGAAACTTGGAAAAGCATTGTTTGTTTGTTTTTGCTGAGGAAGATTAGACCTGAGCTAACATCTGTTGCCAATCCTCTTCTCTTTATTTATTTATTTATTTTTCTTGAGGAAGATTAGCCCTGAGCTAACATCTGTGCTGATCTTCCCTCTACTTTATATGTGGGTTGCTGCTACAGCATGGCCAAGGAGTGGTGTAGATCCACGCTTGGGATCCAAACCCGTGAACCCAGGCCACTGAAGGGGAGTGCACCAAACTTAACCACTACGCCATTGGGCTGGCCCCTGGAAAAGCATTGTTTTTGAAATTGCTGTTTGGGTTCAAGAATTTTCAGCTCTTCTCTTCTGGATATGAGGGCCACAATAATACTAGTTAATGATTTTCAGAGGGATTCCATCTGAACTGAGTTGGATAGCTCAGATAAACACTTATAAGGAGCTAGGAGCCTCTTCAGATACCAGGAAGTAAGGCTTTCTATACAGCTCTCACAGCTGAGAAGGAAATTGATGAGGTGATATACAGGGCTCCCTTTAGGCATCTGGAGATACTGTCTATGAGACATTAAGGAGGCTAGACAGCCAGGTTTAGACCAACACTCAATGGCACTGCATGGTAGAGCAGGAGTGTGGCAGGGACGACATGCTGAAAGAGATCCATTTTGTGTACTCTCCATATCTCTGCTACACTGAGTGAGAAGTGGGCCCTGTGGTCTTCATATCTTTTCCGCCATTGGCAAACATTATACTTTGTTGGTTATCATGCTAGCCATTGGTGTAGAACTAGGCAAAAATCAGCATTTGTACAGGACTTCTGAACATGATTATTTTTTTCTTAAGTACAGTATAATATAAAGGCAAATTTCCCATCCCATTTTCTCCTTTCTTTTTTCCTACTCTTCTAATATAGGGGTATTCTTCCTCTAGAAGAGGGACTTAACATCTCTAAGCATCCTTGCTCATTAATGAAAGTGATTAGATACACCAGTGAACTACTCCCACTACATGCAGTCATCAATAGAAAGGATAAAAAGGGAACTGTATTGTGGTTCCTCTTGTGGGCTAGGGGAAGGCACATTTCTTCGAAGACAGCTGGAGAACTACTACCTTGACAGACATCTACCTCAAATGAACTTCTGGGTTTCTGGGGATATTAGAGTCAATGTCCAAGACCTGGCTGCATTCAATGGGTCTCTATGGTGGCACCCAGGTAAATAGATGGATGATACCATAGTGTTTTAAAAACCTGTCCCATGAAAACAATGGCCAGTAGCAGAACATTTGTAACTTCTGGGGCAGATATTCTTCAACTCTGACTGGAGATAGGGACATTCAGGTGCTTTCAACTTCCAACAATAAGTTTCTAAAAATATAATTTAGTAGAGCCCATTGACTGATGATTGGATAAAGAAGATATGGTATATATATATACAATGGAATACTACTCAGCCATAAAAAAGAACAAATCGTCCCATTTGCAACCACATGGATAGACCTTGAAGGTTTTATGTTAAGTGAAATAAGCCAAACAGAGAAAGACAAACACCATATGATTTCACTCATTTGTGGAAGATAAACACACTTACAGACACAGAGAACAGTTTAGTGGTTACCAGGGCGAAGGGGGGTAGGGGGTGGGCACAAGGGGTTAAGGGACACATTTATATGGTGTCTGACCAATAATAATGTACAAATGAAACTTCACAATGTTATAAACTATTATGACCATAATGAAAAAAAATAATTTAATGGAAAGACCATATGTGAGACTATGGGAAGCACTCTGGGATTTTTTTCCTTCTTGGAATCCATTCTGGAATGTCATCTTTTGGATGATATTGCCTTCTAAAATTCTTTACTTCTTCAGGTATTAAACTAGCAACCTAACTGACTGAGTCCCAGGATGGATCTGTTTGGCCTAAATGTTTTTATATAGCCAATAATGCCACAGGGTAGTTTCCAGTGTTCTAAAACACCACAGATTCTGACAAGAGGGGAATCTAGAGAAATCTGAAATTCTTTTGGTTTGTCCTTATTCAGCAAGTGCATTGCATAGCTCCTAGAACTTAGCAGGATATTGGAGAAACAGCTAAATTCTTGTATGAAATTTCTCGTCTTGCAAAAGATCAAACTTGGACTACATAACTCAGAGAAAGAAATTGCAATGTTGCATTAAAAATATGGTGTTGCTGAAATACTATCCTTTAGACAAATGCTAATTCTGAAACCAACCTTGCTCTGCTGTTGGGTTATTGCAACTGCTGTTGCAACACTTGGAGGAAATCCTATTCTTGTGAGCATTTCCTCTTGGGAAAGTTTCATACTGTAGCTATAGTTCCCCAATGTGGCCAGGGAGAATGCTCATTTTTACTGGCTCAAAAATTTATTCTAATTTTAGATATTTTTCATGCATTCTGTTTTAGAAGAAATTTACTAATCAAATATCAAATATTTAAACAAGCCTACAAAAATTAACTTGACTTTTAAAATGTTTTGTCCCCATGAATCTTTTATTAGCTATCACCCCTTAACACATCCTTTTTTTCTTTTTTGCTCTGATTACAGACTTGGAAATGGATAGTGGGTCCCATGTTCCTGTATCTCTGTGAGAGGTTGGTACGGTTTTGGCGATCTCAACAGAAGGTGGTCATCACCAAGGTATTGGCTGGTTTAGGAATTACTGATAGTATCTATGTCATGAACAAGTCTACCCAAGTTGTCGATGTCATTGGTCAGGGCTCTGTTTTACTCAGTTTCTTTTGATTACACTTAGGGCGGAGAGAAGACCCACAGTTTATTTCAGTGTACTGAGCTTCATGGTCAAGTGGTTTGGCCTTTTAACTGGGGAAACTAGAAGTTAACATTTTCTGTTGAAAAAAAACCCCATGTGTTTTGTGTATGTGAATCTGTGCGTGTGTGTGTATGTCTGTGTGTGTATGTGTGTAGAGAGAGAGAGGGGAGGAGCATAGAGCATCCGATTAGTGTAGAGTGGAGAAGCAAAAGAGGTGAGTTCGAAAGGGCAAACAGTGAGCCTTAAAATATTCAAATACCAAAAGAACCAGGGAAGCAAGAGTAGGTGTGATTGACGCTGAGATAGTTTTCTAGTTCCCCTTCACCTCATTGTCTGTGCTTTGTATGTAATCACAGAATATTAGAGTTAAAGTGCCCAAGGTAGCAAGCAAGTTAGTAACTAAACTGCATCTGGAATTGAGTTGCCTGACTCCAAGTAGATAGTGGCTTTTCCCCCACGCTTCTATGCTGCTTCTCATCAATCGATCAATATCCAACTAAATAAATAGAAACGGAAACTCCTTGTTATAGTTTTAGGAAACACCAGACAAAACTATTTTTGTCAAATAAAAATTCATTCAGTTCAATTCAGTTCAAAAAGTATTTGCCAAAAGCCTACTATGGGTTACTTTCGCAAAACACACAAATTCAGGAGCCGGCCCGGTGGGGCAGCGGTTAAGTTCGCACGTTCTGCTTTTCAGCAGCCCGGGGTTCGCCAGTTCGGATCCCGAGTGCGGACATGGCACTGCTTGGCAAAAGCCATGCTGTGGTAGGCGTCCCACATATAAGGTAGAGGAAGATGGGCATGGATGTTAGCTCAGGGCCAGTCTTCCTCAGCAAAAACAGGAGGATTGGCAGCAGTTAGCTCAGGGCTAATCTTCCTCAAAAAAAAAAAAAAAAACCCACACAAATTCTTCCTGTCCTCAACCCTAGCTTTTCTTTCTTGGTATCTGTGGAGGGTCATAGTAAAGTTAGTGCAGCTGGCACTGGAAATCTTGAAATAAATATAGGAAGCTACAACAGTTCTCCTTTTATGATACTTATGTTGTCTTATAGGAAAAATCCCACAGATCAGCAAAAAGAGCTGCCACAAAATTTTCCTTACTAGACAAGAACCTGCTAAACAGACACGTATTTCCCTTAAACGTATTTCTGAGGTAAACTTGTTTTCTTGTGAAGAAAATATTCATTTTCTTCTCATATCAACACACAGAAGAAACAACGTGTTACCCAAAAGTATTCCAGTTACAATGCTGTCCACTAGTACATTTAATTTAGTTCAATTCCAGTTTTGCTTGTGGCAGCAAAATTGCAATATGGTAAAAATTGTTTTCACCGAACAAAGTCGCAACATGGTAAACATAATTTTCAAAATAGTTTTTATAAATTTTTGTTTTCTGTTTTCAAAATGCACCTTTACAACTCCTTATTTCAAGGAAGAGGGAAGTTGGGTATGGGTCTATCAAATAAGATATATTTAAATCACAAGTTTTGGAAATGTTTGGCAACCGTTGTTAAAAGAATTTCCCATTCTCCCACTCCTCCTCGCTCAGGAAAAGAAAAGCCCAGCAATATCAGTCAACATTGGGAAGCTGCTACTTTGTTTCTATTGATTTTTCTTTCCTTTGATGTCTCTTGGTTTGTTTTTAGTTGTACATGTCTTTCTAGGTGTCTCAGGAATCGTCCAAAAAAAACCAGTGCATGAATTTCTATATAACAATAAGAGCTTTTCATTGTGTTCTATTTTCTGTTGATAGACATTTGGATTGTGTCTAATTTTTTGCTATTGTGAACAAATCTGTTATGAACATTCGTGTATATGGAGAATGAGGACTGCAATGGGTGGGTAGGGCCTGGCTTTGGGAGAGATGGATGGCGTATTCCCAAGGTAGGGAGAAATGTAGAAACAATGTGTGGAATCAGGCAGGTTCAAGGTGTGACTCAAGACAAAAGCTGACCAGCACAGTTAGGCTTGCCGTGGGGGATGCTGCTATATAAGTAGCCAATGGAGTCTCCTTCTTCTGTCTAGTTGCTAAGGCTCTGGATCATCCCCCGGGGAGACAGGAAGGTTGAGCAGGACACCATCTCTCCTTCTTGTCTCTAGTACCTGCCTTGACTTCTTAGAGAAAAAATATCACAATAGGCTGGTGTCTTACGTTGGACTCCACGGCAAAGACTCTGAGACAGAGAACTGCATGCAGAGGTTTATTGGGGCATGTTCTCAGGAGATGAACTTGTAAAATAAAAGAAAGGCAGGACTGGGGAGAAGAAAAAGCTGACCCTCAATATGGTGGCAACTGCAGCCCCAGCTGATCCCACAGGGAGTGCTGGAGTTGGATGGTCCCTCGGAGTTGTCCCAAATCGAGGAGAGGGGCCAGGCCTTTGGATCCCTGCATCAGCTCATTGCTGGTCACGGGCTGCAGCTGAGGGCAATTCCCAATGAGAGACACATGTGCCAGAGGAACTGCTATGTTGGCCCTGAAGAAGGAACTTGGGTGGGGCATCTTAGCTCAGTCTGATCCATATGGACACTGAAAAGGCAAGTATTTGGGGAAAGTGTAGTTTCCAGAGACATGTTTTGTTCCATAGGTGGTCACTCATCCTTTCAAAACCATCGAGCTACAGATGAAGAAAAAGGGATTCAAGATGGAGGTGGGACAATACATTTTTGTCAAGTGCCCCATGGTGTCCAGGCTGGAGTGGCACCCCTTCACACTGACCTCTGCCCCTGAGGAAGACTTCTTTAGCATCCATATCCGCATTGTTGGGGATTGGACAGAGGGACTGTTCAATGCTTGTGGCTGTGATAAGAAGGAGTTTCAAGATGCCTGGAAACTACCTAAGTGAGTATAAAGTGCATATTATGAAGGTGTACAAATTCAGGAAAAATGTCACTAAATAGCTCCTCTTCTCCCATCTCTCACTATACAATCTCCTGAGTCTGACAAAACACACAAGGTCTACAAATATATGTGGCTATCTCTGTGTTCCCCATTTTATATGTGTGGTGTGTTTATGGATATATATACATATAAATCTTATGTGAAATATAAAGTATTTGAATCGAATATTAGTAATGAATATTCCCAAGTTCCTTTAAATATGTAAAGGTCGAGGCCAAGGAATATTAATTTTCCTAACAAACAAAATTACAGTGTATCAAAGATATTCTTAAAATTTAAGTGCCGTACATTATTTGAGGGTCAATGCCATGGATTATTCACTTTGCCTCCTTCTTCCCACGTGCCTAACATGGTGCCAGGCACTCGGGAGAAGCTGAAGGAAAATTTGTTGAATAACTCAATGAATAGACAAGTGAAAAGTGGACCTACTAAATCTACAAGATATTATGATGTAGAAAATTCTCACTTTACTTCAATGTGCAGTGTAAGCAGGAATTTCAAGTGTAGGATGCCCTGGCAAGAGATACAGATGTGTGTGTGTGTGTGTGAGTGAAGGGGGCTGGGGAGATAAAAAAAAAAATACCCCTGAGAATTACCAAATGTTTTCAGTTAGCTAAAAATTCCTCTTCTTACTTCCAACTCTAATGTTGACACTAAATTGGTTACTTGAAAGCTGTTTCACAGAAAGAAGCATCCCATACATACGTTGTTCCAGATTGAAGTGACATATTGCATACCCTCAGTAATAACATGTGCCCCATCCTACTCTGAAGAGCAAGACGTCTCTGTGACCATCTCCTCCCATGCTTCCCTCCAGGATAGCTGTTGACGGGCCCTTTGGCACAGCCAGTGAAGATGTGTTCAGTTACGAGGTGGTGATGTTAGTGGGAGCCGGGATTGGGGTCACGCCCTTCGCATCCATCCTCAAGTCAGTCTGGTACAAATATTGCAATAATGCCACCAATCTGAGGCTCAGAAAGGTAGGTTCTTCAATTTTTCAGAGGGCTTGGAGCAACCATCACCTTCTGCCAAGTGAAGCTTGAGAGAGCTTTCCGGGCAGAGGCTGGCACAGACCAAGGGAAAGGAAGACAAGTTCTGGGTGGTTCCAGAGAGGCAGGCTTCTCATAAAAGGGCCATTTGATAAGTTAAACGTGCTTCTATATAAGAAGGCCTATTATTGAAAGTAATATACTGTATTTGGATAGTATTACTAGAAATTTGGAAGAAAGTTGAGATAGAAAGTATTCACAACCCCAATCCAATAGCTATTCTTTGTGTACATTTCTAATGTTATCTACATGTTTACGTATTCTTAGAAAGTTGTAAATATTGAGTATGCATAATTTCATGTCCTGCTTTTTAAAAAAAATTATAGTGCTTTTCAGTGTTGTCACAGGCTCTATAATGATCATTTTCAATGATTCCTTCAGGTGCCATCGAGAAGATATAGAATAACTTTTCTAACATCCTGTGTTAGATATTGAGATGGATTCCATTTCCAGCCCACTCAATACCTTTTTTTTTTGCAGTGGGAGGGCAGGCGACATGTCTGCTCATATAACTTTCACTTTCTTATGGATATTGCCTCAGAATAAATCCCCAGGGTATTTTTTGTCACATGTCAATTTGGTTTCATTGCCTGATAAAGGACATCTTTAATAAAACTTGAGACATTCTAATCCTGTAGAGATAACCGCTAATAGGGACATTGAGCTTACCTCGACTTTTCATTCTCTCCTTTTCCTCTTTTCTATGTGGAGGAGGTATGGGTAGAACTACTTTTTTTTTCCGAGGAACTCAGCAATGTATGACAGTGGCAGGCAGGGACGCAGTCCTGTGGCAGCCACTGCTAGTCTAGCTTCCAGCGGTCTATCTGAGAGGCGGTACAAAGGAAGCCAGGGATTCTGGGAGGCCAAGAGCAGATCCAGAGGGAAAGTGGTGGGCTAATGTTTTTTTCTTAAACCATGTAATTCTGAGGCCAAGCTATTTATTTACTGCCCTGCCAGCGTGAAGGCCAGAGCAAATTCATGCTAACTAACTCATCAAATGTCCGGAGCTTTCTGAAAACCCACGTTCCTAGGCATTCTGAGCAGCAGGAAAAAGTTGAGGAGAGGGTAGAAATCCCTGCGTCAATGCTGCTGGTCTTCCTTCAATCTCATCTGCTTCCCGACCCGTCCCCCTTTCAGATCTACTTCTATTGGCTGTGCCGGGACACACACGCCTTTGAGTGGTTCGCAGACTTGCTGCAGCTGCTGGAGACCCAGATGCAGGAGAGGAACAACGCCGACTTCCTCAGCTACAACATCTACCTCACCGGCTGGGATGAGTCTCAGGTGGGGACAAGATCCCAAACCCCACGTCCTTCCCATAGTGCCCGGGGCTTTCTGGCTGCCCCTTGGTTATTGGAGTGTCTCATGCACTGTTTTAACCGAGAACAGCTGATGGATTCAGGTAATCCAGCCCACTCACTCTCCCTCAGTCTCCCCAACATGTTCAGACTGTTGAGACTGGATTTAAAGTTGGTATCTGTGGGACACATCAAAGCTAAAGAGCCTACAGTGAATAAAAGCTGTGACTTTGACCTTGTTAGAGCAATGCTCCCACCAGGGGGTCTCGAACCAGGTGGACAAGATGACCCACCAGGTTATGGGAAGAAATTATTAGCTTTCTCTCTCTCTCTTTATACACATGCGCACACATACATAGACATATATATCACTTTAATCTTATGTTTACTCATTTTTTATAATATACACAATACAGTTAAGAAGTAGTATTGGGGCGGGCCCAGTGGCGCAGCGGTTAAGCTCGCACTTTCCGCTTCTCGGTGGCCTGGGGTTCACCGGTTCGGATCCCGGGTGCGGACATGGCACCGCTTGGCTCGCCATGCCGTGGTAGGCGTCCCACATAGAAAGGAGAGGAAGATGGGCACGGATGTTAGCTCAGGGCCAGTCTTCCTCAGCAAAAACAGGAGGATTGGCGGCAGATGTTAGCTCAGGGCTAATCTTCCTCAAAAAAAAAAAAAAAGAAGAAGAATTATATGGCCCCAAATGTCGAAAGTGCCTCAATTAAGAAATTCTGAAACAAGTTAATGATTCCTAGGGCATAACATCTTTCTAAATGGGCCAACATTAATGACTTGGCTTGGAAGCAGCATAAGCTGTCCCCCTGAGTGAGGAGCTAAGGCTCGAGTCTCTGCCTGTTCTGAGCCAGCGTCTCCGCCGGCCATGCCCATACACTGGCTTCTCAGTCCGGACATCTTTCACATGCGCCTTGTGCCTGTGAAAACTGACTTCTTGTTTCGGTTTTGGCATATTATTTATCATAGCTCCTCCAAGTCTTAGAAGAGTCTTGTTGCAAATGTAGATCCAGGGACATGTGACGATGAAAATTGCTGCTCCAGAAGAAGTGGTTTCAAGATGCCACTTCTGCAATTTTAAAGCAAAACAACAACAAATATTTGATAAAAATGAAACCCAGGAAAAAATCTATAATATATCAATTGCTTTGCAGTTTTGTTATTTAAAAAGCCAGACACAGGGGCTGGCCCAGTGGCATAATGGTTAAGTTCGCACACTCCGCTTCAGTGGCTCGGGGTGCGCACGTTCAGATCCCGGATGTGGACCTACATGCTGCTCATCAAACCATGCTGTAGTGGCATCCCACATACAAAGTAGAGGAAGATTGGCACAGATGTTAGCTCAGGGCCAATCTTCCTCACCAAAAAAAAAAAAAAAAAAAAAAAAAATCCAGACAGTTTTTTAAATGGGAAATTTATTTGCATTGAAAAATAGTTTTTGCTTTGCAAAACTGATCCCTATAGGATTATTAAACCAGAGTAACCACCCTTCTTAACCTCATCCATCCCCTGTCCAGTGAATTTAAAACCTGATTTAATTTTTAAATAAGTTTAATTAGCCAATTTTATGAAAAATATCTGTTGTTCAAACTGAGGCCCCCTAGAATGATAGCTAAAAACAACATGTGACTATGTACACACACACACACACACACGCACACACACACACAGACTGGCTTTAGGCTTGGTTTATGTCTCATTATGTTACCAAAATATGAATGCATTTGAGTCTAGGATTGTTTTAATTCTTAGAGATTCTTCCAAAGGAGTGGGAGTATATTAGGATGAGGAGAGAAAGTCGTAGAGCAGATGAGATGTAGAGCAGAGAGAAAAATAGTGAGACAGAGAATTTAAATCCCGCCCGCACTTCAAAACCTAACTCCAGGGCCCCGCCCTGTGGCCAAGCGGTTAAGTCCGCGCACTCCACTGCAGCGGCCCAGGGTCTCACCGGTTAGGATCCTGGGCTCGGACATGGCACCGGCTTGTCAGGCCATGTTGAGTCGGCCTCCCACATGCCACAACTAGAAGGACCCACAACTAAAATATACAACTATGTACTGGGGGGCTTTGGGGAGCAAAAGGGGGAAAAAATAAAATCTTAAGAAAAAAAAAGTTTAAAAACCTAACTCCAATGCTGCCACTCTGAAACCTTCTTGTACCTTCCCACCCCACCTTCCTTCTTTGCTCTCATTGAAGTGTTTGTGCCTCTTCCATGGCTCTCATCATACCCTATTCTCCAAATAGGATTATTCATGTTTATACTTCAAGGTCTACCCTTCTAGTTTGCAAATTGCTTTAAGGTGACCTAGTTTGTTCATTGTTTACTTTCTAGCCTTCAGCCTGGTGCCTTGCCCCAAACATATATATGGTTAGAATGGGCAGCCAGAGCTTGGTTTATGAGATATGTAAATATATCTGTGTGGTTTTTTTATAGCATGTCTTTTTTTTTCTGAATTCGTGTCCTTTCCTGCAGGCCAGTCACTTTGCTGTGCACCATGACGAGGAGAAAGACGTGATCACAGGCCTGAAACAGAAGACTTTGTATGGACGGCCCAACTGGGATAATGAGTTCAAGACAATTGCGAGTCAACACCCAAAGTAAGGAGACCCCACCAAGGTGTTCTTGAGTCTCATGGTCTACCTAAAGCAGCAGCTCCCAAACATGGCTAAATTTGTATATTCTGGAAGCTAAAATACCTAGATTACTATATTCACACCCAATAGAAGGTTCTAGATATCTGTGACTTTAAGAGGGAGTCTTTAAATCACACCAAAATTACCTGGAGAGTTATAATGTATAAACAAAGATTCCCAGGCCCCCACCTCAGACTTTCTGAACCCTGCCCCTCCCAAATAGGGCCATAACTCAGTTCTTTTCTTTCATCTCCTAAATTTCACTACAGTATCTACTTCTTTTAATTCAAAACGATTTATGCTTCTTATTAAGGAAACACTGTCTCCACTTTCAGTTTTAGCTTTTGAGTCTAAAATCATAAGTTGACAGACATCCCAGAGTCCTTTCTTCCCTCACTAAAGTTTTAGCCATCATGAGACTTTGAGGGGATCCTCCATCTTGCTAGAACACATGATAAACTCAAGAAATCACCATAAATATACCCTTTAGGCCATTGCTGCTTATATTCTAATGAGCATATGAGTCACTTGGGGATCTTTTTAAAATGCAGATGCTGATTTAGTAGGTCTGGGGTCCTGCCCAAGAATCTGCATTCTTAAAAAGACGACATCTAGGCTTACTGGTCTGGAAGCACACCTTCAGGAACATGGCTTTAGACTCTAGAATGCAGAGAGATGAAGCCACACCAAGCTTTTGGCAGAGTTGGTGTACCTAAAGTGGATTTGTTCCTGGTTTCAACATGCCGGAGAGGGTTTGGGGACACGGACCCCTAAAAGGAAGTAGCCCATGGACTCACAAATTCACCATTTTCTCTGTGGTAGAAGTTTCCATAAACCCTGCTTCAATGTCATTTTCAAGGGAAGGCAACTGCCTTTTAAAATATCTAACTGCCCCACAAACAGGACTGAGCCACTCTCCAGCAGGGTAATCTGAACTCATCATTTGTGGAAAGGACAAAGAAGCAGAGACGCCTCTGCCCTGGGGCCTAAAATCGATAGGAAATTCCCCATTGTGCTTTGTAGTCTATCCCATCCCAAAGGCTAAAACTGTCTTTTTTTCTTTCTTTCCCCAAAGTACCAGAATAGGAGTTTTCCTCTGTGGACCTGAAGCCCTGGCTGAAACCCTCAGTAAACAGTGCATCTCCAACTCCGAGGCTGGCCCTCGGGGAGTGCATTTCATTTTCAATAAGGAAAACTTCTAACTGGTCTCTTTCATGAGGAAATAAATGTGGGCTATGCTGCCAAATGCCCAAATAATGCTAGTTGATAATGTAAGTTTCCCCCTTGAAAAAAAAAGGAGAAGAAGAAACTATAATGTGATGGTTTTCCCTGAAAGGAATGTCAAAGATTGTTTGATAGTGATAATTTGCATTTGTTTGGGGCTTTGTCATTTTCAGCGCACTTTCACAAACATTATTTCATTTTTCCCTCATGCCAGAGATGCCAAAGAAAGGCAGGGCAAGGATCCTTGGGTTCAGTTTTTAGGATAAAATGAATGGGGGCTCAAAATGATGAAGTAACTTTCCTTAGATTATGAAACTGAGACAGGATCTAGGCCATCTGACGCCAGGTTTGGTAGTCTTTCCACGATACCAGGCTGCCAGGAAATAAGTTTGTATACTCCCCAAAAGAAGAAGCAAACTAGGGAGTAGCTATTCATTTTCCATTTTGTGTCATCTTTGTTATCATTATTGTCACGTCGAAGGAAATTTTCCAAATAGGAGATAATATACGCTGAGTGATTCAACTCTTAATAGTGACAGGATCGACATCAGAGCATACTCTAGTTTACCAAGACAGCAGCCTAACTGCATCAGAGATTGTTCTTGCGAAAGAATATTAGGCTGACTGAAATCAATGTGTTACCCAGCATTTACAATGTTGCTTGGCAGAGAGTAAGGATACTCAATGAAAGTTTGTGGAATGAATGAATGAAGAGACATTTAGAACCATGCAATGCCAGGGTAGAATTAATTTAAGGCCTTAAAGAGAAATATCTAAGGAAATAACTTCTGTTACTCTTACAGACCAAAGGAACCCGATTCTTCTGACAGTAGAGAACAGGCTAAAGATAGTAACCAATAGGATGTCCTGGAGGTTCCCTCACATTCTTGTTTGAAGCATGGAGGAAAGGGAGATGGAGGCAGAGAATGGACCTCCTACCATAACTGGCTGGCTCCTCTAGTCCTGCTCCCCGTGCCATGAAAGAAATGCAAACTGATTTACTGCCTGAAAGGGTCTCCTCCAGCCAGCACTTGTGAATTTGAAATTAAGAATTGTGACAAATATGTGTCTGATATGCCCATCTGCTTTAAATAGCATCCACCCCTTGTTTTACTTAAATACACAGAAAATGGATCTTGTTTGTGGGACTAACAGTTTATTGTTATATCATCATCATCATCATGAAATTTACATCCTAGAAACAAAAATCCCCCAGCTTACTGTGTAGGCATTGAATTGCCACCCAACGGAATGTTCTCGATCTGCGAGTTCAAGAGAGAGTCTCTAAATCACTGTTAGCGTGACTAGAAACAGTTTTTTTTTTCTTAGAACTGCTCTTATTTCTGGGAACTATAAACAGATTTGTTGGCCCCACCCTCTGGAACCACAGATATTTAGAGCTATTTAAATTTGGTAATGCGGAAGAAAGAGAAGAAAGCAAGGGGGAAGGGCAGAAGACTGGGTTAGGAAAGGGGAAGGAACGGAGAAAGAGAAAAGAAGAGTGAGAGAAAGCAAAAAAGGCAAAAGGAAAGTGTCAAGGAAGGGAGTCACATTGGTCACTTTCTACCCAAGGTTTCTTGAAGTTTTGTGTGTATTGAATATAATTGAAGGAGGCATCCACATATTCATTTTATTTTGATTACATATGGGATTGAATCTGAAATTCTAATCATAAATTTTGATGCTGAGTGGGCATCTGCAGGGGACTGGCATGAAGGAGTAAGAACTCAGTCGTTCCTTTGGGCTCCCAGGATGCCCAGGACATTGACAATTCAGGCTTGCTGCAGGAATGTGGCCTACCCAAAATAGCCCAGGAAGGTTTGCACTTATAGACACTTAGGTCCAGCCTGTTCACACTGCACCTCGAGTATCAGTTCATTCATTCAACAAATTTTTATTGTGCTGTTACCATGACTCACGCTCTTTGTTGACAGTTTCAGTTCTTGAGAGCATGGTGTGAGCAAGAGGGGGACCTCAGTTATAAGGAGCCTGAGAATCTTGGTCCCTCCAACCTATGTGGCCCAAGTAAAACCAACTCCATTTGTTGCTCTGAAAATGTTTCTCCAGGGTTTTCTACCTTTGACATAACATGGTTACCAAAATAGAGAGATTTGCCCTGTGTTATCCTGGTTATGAAAATGTGTAAAATTTTTCATCCTGGGATGAAAAATGAGTATAAAAGTGCTTGTCATTAGGACAGCTTCCTTCTTCATCCTTCTCCCAAGCCACCAGTCGCCAGCCGCCAGCACAGCTTCCTTAGCATTTAGCATTTAGTAACAGGTACTGAGAGAACGATTAAGCATTGTTTTTAATCTCAAGGCTATGAAGGCTTTTTTTAGTTCTCCTGCTTTTGCAATATTGCGTTTATGAAATTTGAATGCTTGTAGGTGTTGTGTGTGAATAATTTTGGGGGGCCCTGGGAGATAATTCCTAGGAAGAACTATTAAAATTGTGCTCAACTATTAAAATTAATGAACTCTCGGTGTCTGTGTTATTGATCTCCATATTAAAGAGTGAATTAAAATAAATAAATAAAGGGTGGATTCAGATAGCGAAGATTCGCTCTGCCCTAGCGGAGTTGTGAGTCTCTGTGTTTTCGCATAAGACATACCAAACACTGCACAATTTATGGATTGGGAAAGGAAAACTGAGTACTGAGTTCTGTGCTAATGTCCTGGTGGCCCTCACAGCACTGGTATAAGGGACAAGGGAGTGTCACCCCGCATCGTGGACAGAATTTCAAAGGTAATAATAGAAATAGCTAACACCTAGTAAACACCTTCTACTTTGCCAAACATCTTCCATACACTTCAGCTAATCCTTGAGGACACTGCAAGGTAGCCATTTTATCCCAATTTTGTTGATTAAAAAACTGAGGCTAAGAAAGGATAAATGATAGGCACAGACTATCCCTCAGCCACTGGGCGACGGTGTCAACATTAAATCCACATCTTTCTGACAAAAAAGTCCATGTTCTTTATACTACACTAGCAGATTAGACAAGGTATATGTAACCAAGGATCTTTTCAAAGCTCTTGTGCTAGGTACAGATTATGCACTAAGAATAGCTGTATAACAGCCGTGGTATAAACCTCTGGTTTATGCCACCTAAGTATCTTAGTATCTTAGTTTAGAAACACTGGTTAACTTGATTCATGCTAACTTTTACTTTTATTTTTTTAGTCTTTTTTTTATCGAGATATAATTGACAAATAAAATTGTAAGATATTTAAAGCATACAACATGATGATTCACCAAATAATGTTTTTCCATAGAATGACAACTTTCACCTCTATAGCTACAATGCAATGAACCAGTCCAAGAAAGCCAGCACTTATACAAAACTATCATTTACTAAATAGTCTCTGTATAGGTAACGTTGTGTCCTTAGTGCATTGCATTAGGAATTAGGTATTGTCGGTTTGTCCTATTATTGGTGATACTGAATTTGATCACCAGATTTCTCTGTTATAAATGTAAAGGTATCATTTTACTTTTGAACTAGTAAGTAACATTTGGGGACTACTTTGTGACTGTATAAATATCATTTTCTCCAATAACATTTTACCCAGTCGTTTTACCATGCGTTGATGAAATTTCACTGAATCAATTTTTATAACGATGGTTACAAAATATCTGGATTCTTAAACCTCAATAATCTGCCATTTTCTCTTCTTTTTTCCCCAGATTTATTGAGATACAATTGACATATATCATTGTGCATGTTTAGGAGGTATAACGTGTTGATTCGATACATTTATATACTGCAAAATGATTGCCAGCATAGCATTAGCAAACACCTCTATCCCATCCATAATTACCATTTTTTTTTGTGGTGAGAACATTTTAAGATGTATTCTCTTAGCAACATTCAAGTATCTAATACAGTATTATTAGCTATAATCACCATGCTGTACCTTAGATCCCCAAAACGTGTTCACCTAATAACTGGAAGTTTATACCCTCTGACCAATATCTCATTTCCGCCACCTCCCAGCCCCTGGTAACCACCATTCTGCTCTCCGTTTCTCTGAGTTTGGCTTTTCTAGATTCCGCATGTAAGTGAGATCAAATGGTATTTGTCTCTCTCTGGATATTTCACTTAGCATAATGCCCTCAAGCTTCATCCAAGTTGTCACAAATGGTAAAATTTCCTTCTTTCTCATAGCTGAATAATATTCCATTATATATATATATACTACATCTTCTTTATCAGTCCATCCATTGATGGACACCTAGGTTGTTTCCACACCTAGGGTATTGTGAATAATGCTGCAGTGAACATGAAGTGCCGATATCTCTACAAGATACTGGTTTCCATTTTTTGGATATATACCCAGAAGTGGGATCGCTGGATCATGTGGTAGTTCTATTTTTAATTTTCTGAGGAACCTCCATACTGTTTTCCATAGCGGCTGCACCAACTTACATTCCCACCAACAGTGCACAAGAGTTCCCTTTTCTCCACATCCTCATCAAAGCTTGTTAACTCTTGTCTTTTTGGTGATAATGTAGGGGAGGAAGAAATTTTTATCTACCCTTCCAGGTACTTCTGTATGGTCTAAGAATTAAATTGATATGAGACAGAATAACAGGAGAAAATCAAACAAGTTTAATAACACGTATACTTGGGAGAAACCCAGGAAAACTGAGTAACTCACCAAAATGGCTGAAACCACCACCTTAAATACCATCTTCAGCTAAAGACAAAGGAGGATGTTGGGGGTAGTGGTTTGGGACTTCAAGTGGGAGGAAGGCAATTTACATGGAGATAGACAAGCAAATGTCTGGTAAACAAGTGTTCATCATGCCTTGCAGAGACAATGGGACATGAAGAGGACTTTGATCAAATGTGCTTTGCTAGGTTCCTCCCTACTACACCACTTCATATTATACTGTAGTTATCTGTGGTGATAGCTCCTTCCTGGAACAGGCCTTCTATCTTAAATTCTTTTAGGCAGTTAGGGAGATGGTCAAAGTTTCTTCCTGAGTCGTTTGTTCTTAAAAATAATCAAACTAAAGAGACACATTTTGGGGTGGCAAATTCTGCTCCCGTAAAGTAGCCATTCTAACAGGTATGAGTTGATATCTCATTGTGGTGTTTTTGATTTTTTGCTTGAGGATGATTGGCCCTGACCTAACATCCATGCCAGTCTTCCTCTATTTTACATGAGGGATGGCTGATGAGTGGAGTAGGTCCACGCTGGGATCCAAACCCACAAACCCAGGCCGCCAAAGCAGAGTGTGCAAAACTTTAACCACTCAGCCATGGGGCCAGCCCCTCATTGTGGTTTTGATTTGCATTTCCCTAATGATTAGTGATATTGAATGTCTTTTCAAGTACCTGTTGGCAGTTTGTATGTCTTCTTCCTAAAACTGTCTATTTAGTTAATCTGCCCATTTTTAAATTGGGGTTTTTTTTGCTATTGAGTTCTTTATATATTTTGGATATTGACCTCTTATCCAATGTATGATTTACAAATATTCTCTCCCATTCAGCAGGTTGCCTTTTCATTTTTTTAACTGTTTCTTTTGCTGTGCAGAAGCTTTTTAGTTTGATGTAGTCCTACTTACCGATTTTTGCTTTTGTCGCTTGTAGGTTCTGTGTCATATCCGTGAAATCACTGTGAAGATGAATGTCAAGGAGATTTTTCCCTATGTTTTCTTCTAGGAGTTTTATGGTTTCAGGTCTTAAGTTTAAGTCTATAATCCATTTCAAGTTCGTTTTTGTGAGTGGTGTAAGATAGGGGTCCAATTTCATTCTTCTGCATGTAGTTATCCAGTTTTCCCAGCACCATTTATTGAAGAGACTATCCTTTCTCTCATTGAGTATTCTTGGCTCTCTTGTCAAATATTAGTTGACTGTATATATGAGGGTTTATCTCCGGGCTCTCAATTCTGTTCTCTTGGTCTATGTGTCTGTTTTTATGCCATTACCATACTGTTTTGACTACTGTGGCTTTGTAGTATACTTTGAAATCAAGAAGCGTGATGCCTCTGGCTTTATTCTCTTTTCTCAAGATTTTTTTGGCTATTTGATGTCTTTTGTGGCTCCAAACAAATTTTAGGATTGATTTTTGTGAAAAATGCCTTTGGAATTTTGATAAGGATTGCATTGAATCTATAGATGGCTTTGGGTAATACGTACATTTTAACAACATTAATTATTCTGATCAATGAACATGGGATAGCTTTCCATTTGTTTTTGTTTTGAATTTCTTTCATCAAAGTATTGCAGTTTTCAGTGTACAGATCTTTCACATCCTTGGTTAAATTTATTCCTAGGTATTTTACTGTTTATGATGCTATTGTGAATGGGATAGTTTTATTTCTTTTTCAGATGTTTTGTTGTTAATATATGGAAACACAACTGTTTTCTGCATGATGATTTTGTATCCTGCAACTTTCCTGAATTCATTGATTAGTTCTAGCAGTTTTTTGGTGGAGTCTTGAGGATTCTTTCTATGTAAAATCATATCATCTACAAACAAAAACAATTTTACTCCTTCTTTTACTATTTGGATGCATTTTTTTTTTCTTTTTCTGGCCTGATTGCTCTGGCTAAGACTTCCATTACTTTGTTGAGTAGAAATGATGAGAGTGGGAACACTTGTCTTGTTGCTGATCTTAGAGGAAAAGCTTTCAACCTTTCACCATCGAGTATGATGTTACCTGTGGGCTTGTCATATATGGCCTTTATTGTGTTGAAGTATGTTCCTTCTATACCCAATTTATTGAGCATTTTATCATGAAAGGATTTTGTAGTTTGTCAAGTGCTTTTTCTACATCTGTTGAGCTAATGATATGATTTTTATCTTTCTTTCTATTAATGTCATGTATCACATATATTGATTTGTGTATGTTGAACTATCTTTGCATCCCAGAGAAAAATTCCACTTGATCATAGTATGTGATCCTTTTAATGTACTGTTGAATTTGGTTTGCTAGTATTTTGTTGAGAATTTTTGCATCTATAGTCATCAGAGGTATTAACCTGCAATTTTCTTTTTTTGTAGTGTCCTTATTTGGCTTTGCTGTCAGGAAATGCTCGCCTCACAAGATGAGTTTGGGAGTATTCCCTCCTCTTCAGTTTTTTGGAAGAGTCTGAGAAAGATTGGCATTAATTCTCCTTTAGTGCTTGGTCAAATTCACCAGTGAAATCATCTGGTCCTGGGGTTTTCTGTGCTGGGAGGTTTTTGATTACTGATTCAATCTGCTTACTCTTTATTGGTCCCTTCAGATTTTCTGTCTCTACATGATTCAGTGCTGGTAGGTTGTATGTTTCTAGGAATTTATCTATTTCTTCTAGGTTATCCAGTTTGTTGGCATATAATTATTTGTAGTAGTCTCCATGATCCTTTGTATTTCTGTGGTATCAGCTGTAGTGTTTCCTCTTTCATTTCTGATTTCATTTAGTTGAGTCCTCTCTTTTTTTCTGAGTTAGTCTAGCTAAAGTTTTGTAAATTTTATGTTTACAAAAA